CATGCCTGCAATCCTGGCACTTGGGAGGCTGAGATAGGAGGATCACCATGAGCCTTGGCTACATAGTGAGTTCAAGGTCAACCTAAATTACATAGTGAGAACCTGTCTCAACAAACAAACAAACAAACAAAAAACACACAGGTAAACCATTTCATTAAATTAGCAGTTTAGAAAACATCCTCTTTAATATGCTTGATGTTTAAAGTAGAGCTGAAGTAATAGTTTTTCTAATTGCACATTTTGCCAAAAGTAGCCCTAAGCTCTAGCTCATTAAAAATTCTAACAGGGCCAAAAGTTAGTTCCATAAATAAACTAATTGAGACTATTAGATTATAAGCAAGATTGTTATGAACTTGAATGTTACACCTAAAGAAAAAGTAATACAAAGCAGATGATCTCTTCTGAGTTTCTTCACATACTGCTACTGGCAGTTGGAATACTAGAAAGTAATTATATTCATAAAAGTGTAAATTCAGTCACTGCATATACACCATACATTCTTGCCATCTAAATCTATTAACTTAAAGTAACAATTTATCTTTTCCCAGTCAAAACTAAATGTTAACATTTAACACATCTACATATGATTATGAAACTTAGGCATAAAAATTTACTTTTAACAGCTAGAAGTATTTAGACAAACTTTTGATAAGTTGAGCGTTTTTGTTCTTTACATAAATAGTGTTATTGAAGCAACAAAAAATATTTTTGAAGCCTTTTTCCAAACCCTGAGCTATGGATTCCATAATGTTATAATGGATTTAAGTTATGAACCTTCAAAACATCATAACCTGATGAGTATGATGTTCTCCATCTTTGGAAAACTGTCTAATTAATACAGTGCTGTAGCAGGAGCGTTTAGATTTGAATTCATCTGTAAAGCTAAAGGCATAAATGTGAGACAACACAAGCCTGAAATTGTGCACTGTGAATCTTCATTTCAAACATTAATTTAACTTTCTATACTGGATCAATAGATTATATATAGGTGATATTGAAAATGGCAACCTACTTCATTTAAATGTTAAATTTTAAATTATGAGATTTACATCAAAACTAACCTTTCACACAGGCACTTCTTAAAGGAACAATAAAGGCTGTATTCTAGATAATGTAATGGTTTCTTGGCACCTATCACACAAGTAGAAGATAGTTCAGAGATGAGAATGTTACTGCTCTATGGGAATTACATTTAGATTTTAAAACATTTGTATTAAGTCAAAGTACAGACCTACTAAGTCATATTCATTGAGCTATCTTTAATATTTCTTCTAAAAAACAGGTGACAATTGTATGGATGATATTCTATAAATTTAAGGATATAATTTATGGATTTGTATAGTTTATGGATAATTTCTATAATTTGTGGATCTTATTTCTATAAAGAATCTACTTCAGTCTATCTAGGTCCACAAAAATATGTTCTATTACATTACATAGTAAGTCAAGATCAATTACCACTTTGAAAATTTGCTTCACCCTAAGTTCTGGCTAGACAAAGCACTCCAGGTTTTACTATGGACTGTTTCTATAAAACTATGATTGCTTCCAGTTTTTAAAAGAGGACTAGAATATACTTTCACAAATTTCCATAAAGTGTCTTAAGAAAAGTTAGGAGGCACTGCCGTAATTATGGGATTGCTGAGGCAGTGTTTGGAATTCTCCATCAATGTAAGGGGATGTACATATATTGTTAGTGTTGTAAACAGTTGGTGCATCCTGAAGCCCGAGTATACAGAATGATGTAACCAATGTTGACATCGTGTTACAGATAAATACACATTGAAAAATAAAACAAAGAATCACAATATATTCTATCTTTAACTTTCTGTAAACCATGTTTTGTGGATAACTTCAGTTTTTCCATAAGGCTGATATAGTTCAATATTTTGAAAACATCAGTATTAATTTTGAGTTGGCAGAGGTAACCTAACCAACTAGGGTTATTTTTGGTACTAAGAGATATAAACATTTCAATTGAAATGCCAAAAAAAAAGTTAACCAATAATAAATACTAGTAGGGCTGTGGGGGAAAATGAACCCTACTCTACCATTGGTAGAAGTGTATACTGGTGCAACCACTGTGGAAATCAATGTGGAGATTCCTCAAAAAAATGATAACTAGAGTCTTGGTATCTTCCCGAAAGAATTAAAAACATCATATTTCAGTGATATATGTGCACCCAATTTATAGCAGCACAGTTTACAATAGCTAAATCTTGGAAACAGCTCAGATGCCCAATGGATGAATGGATAAAAATGTGGGTTTTAAAAAAATATATACAATGGAGGACTACTCTGCTATAAAGAAGGATAAACTTGAGACATTTCTAGGTAAATAGATGCACATTGAGACCATATTCTTAAGTGAAATAAATTGGATACACATTTAAATGCTGCATTATTTCTCTGGTGTGAGAAACTGAAAGTGGGAATAAATACCAAGATGCATGATAGATATTGGGAAATGGGAAGAAAATGTTCAAATGGGAAGGGGAACAAGAGAAGGGAGAGGGAAAAGGAAGGAAGGGACAAGGAAAAAAGAATAAAAGGAAAAAATGGAAACAAATCTCTTGTAAACAAGTAGTTGGAAGAAGAGTTGAAGAGAGGGGAGCCGAATGGGGAAAAAGCAGGAAACATGGTGCACAGATACAGATTTCCTACGATAAATGTTAACATTATGTATATCTAAAATGTACCAAGTAAAAATAAAATCCCACATCCAAGACTATAAAAAATACATTTCCATGTGAGCAACTTGTGAAGATTTGGTGTATTCTCACTTAAGGCTTAGAGTTTCCGATGGTGTTTTGCATATATATTTGCTTATATGTTCCTAACGCATTCTGAACTACTTGCTTTCTACATGTTCAGTATATCAGTCTTAACCATGAGTATCCCTTAGGTGCAAAAACCATATCCAGTAAATTTATAGGTGAAGTTAAGAATAATTTTCTTATTTACTTAGTCATCTAGGTTTAAAATTCTTACCAATATGGAAAGGCGTATCTTATTTTGAATGTAATGGAACTCAAGCGAGAATATGAGTAAGTTCAATCTCAGAATATTCTCAGAAATATAATCCTTGTGTGCCTGACTTATTTTACTTAACATTATGGTCTCAAGGGCATCAATTTTCCTGTGAATGCCTCTGGTTTATCTTTCTTTATGACACAGTAGTACTCCACTGTATGTATCACGTTTTCTTCATCCATTCATCCACTGATGGACATATGGGCTGCTTCCAAGATCTAGCTATTTTGAATTGTGTAGCTATAAACATGGGTGTGCATGTATTACTGTAATATAATACGTTTAACTCTTTCAGGAAGACACCTAGAAGGGGAATAGCCGGGTGGGTCAAATGGAATTTCTAGTTTTAGTTTTTAAAAAATCTTCACACTGATTTCTCTTATATGAGAAATGCAAATTATAAAGAGAGAAAAATAAAAGGTAGATGATGGGGAGTACAGCTAATCTCTCTCATACGGGAAGGGGATGAAGAGGTGGAGGGAGGGAGAAAGGAGGGGGAAGGAAAGAGGATGGAAAAAAGAATTAAGATGTGTTATGAACATGCACCCACTCAAGAAATGTCAGTATGATGTACTGTAAACATGTACCAATGAAAAAAGAAAACATAATCCTGCTCATCACCTTCCCTATACTACTATCTCCCTATGTTTTTTATTTCCATTATAAAAATATACATGGAATTTTGGATCATTTCAGTTTCTTGTAGACAGCATTTAGTTGTTTTATATACATGGTGTTTCATGTAATCTACCATTGGAGTGACAGACTCGTAAAGATTTTACTTCTTGTATTTCTTGCACATCCCGTAACATCTAATAGTTGATGATGAAGAAATTGGGCATAATAGAATCTTCCCAAACATGCTTGATTCATAGATTGTTTTGTTGTTGTTCTGCTCTCTATTTCCTGATGTGTCCTAAACTCTAGACAGTTACAGGAAATAATTTCCCTGAAAGGAAACGTGCTCGTGTTTTCTCCTAGACGTAGAGGTGGAACAACTAGAGTGCTGTCACACTGGGCAGGCAACCAGAGGAGAAGGCCCTGTGACATCACAGGAAGGCAGTCCTCACTTCTGATGGCTTTTTGAGCTGTCACCGACTGCGCACCTCTTTTTGTGGTCAGCCATAGCAGGCAGAATCCCCAAGTAGCACTCTCATGCTTCTTCTTGTTCTTCTCAGTAAGAGCAAGATCTCTCAGACATTATCTTGGTTGAAATTATCTAGCCTGCAATCCCTTACCTACTTCTCTGCCTTTCTTTTAGCTCTTCCCAATTGTCTGGACTTTCTTTCATTCCCTTTCCCATCTTCAAGTCAAATTAAACATATTTTATGAAATGGTGACTAACTAGGAAGTTCAGCTACTCTATTGGCCTGAACTAAAATATGTGAAAATACGTTTTAAGTGGTTTTTAACTAAAAACTAATGTGAATATGTTGGAATATGTGTCTAGATAAACTTATTATTATTTTTTGGTATTGGGGATCAAACTCAGGAACTTGGCTCTTGTGAGGCAGGTGGTGGAACCACTGAGCAAAATCCCTGGCCTACATAAACTTATTAAGCTTAAGACTGTATTCAAATTACAGATGAAAAAGAAAAACAACTGCCTTATGCTTCTTCTGATTGGAATTTTAAAGGATATAATTTACCTTCTGCATCATGATATAATTAGATTATATTTTATTAGACATCCTTTACAAATTTAAAATACTGCTATTTTTTACATGCACAGAAGAAAATCAGTTTGGATAATTATATTTAGGCATTCGTTAAAATTAACCACAAAATAGACACTTTATTGTGTCATTTATCAACATACTTGATATGTATATCTAAAGTGCATTATGTTACAAAAATATAGAAATTCAGCAGCACCAAGACACATTTACAAAATAAATACATCTGTTGACAAAATAAATTATGGTAAATGTGATAATAATAATTGGATTAGCCTTGGCAAAACAGAAAAAAAATATTCACAATGACCAATGTGCAGTTTCATAGAGCAATGAGGGAGACAGTTTTATTCCAATGCATTTACAGTATTTACAGACAATAAATATTTCTAATATTTTCTATACGTTTACTATTACAAAATCCTGTAATATGTCCTTGAAAGGTCTCTGCTGAAAATTTCAATGCCTCCTGCAAATAGAAGGAAGGGAAACAAGAGGAAAAACAGTTAATTTGCTTACAAATAGGAATATATAAAATAAAAGATATAAATTAAGAAACACAAAATTACAATGGGAAGAGACCCAGGTGACTTCTCACAAATCTCTTCATGTTAGAGACAGGATCTTTTCTTCCAGAAGCCCCACGCCAGCATGGGTCTTTACCGCGATGAAATGGTCAATGTGATACAGAAAGAAGGAAGGGGCTACATTTCTGTGTCAGAAAAAGAGAGATCCTCCGAAAATCTCCCAAAGCTCCCAGCTGGTAAGTCCAGGAAGGGACAGATTTGACAACCTGGCAGACTGCTGCGTTGGGACATCAGTCAACAGTACACCTTGCTTAGAATATTTACCAATATGCTTGACTTAGATGATGCAGTTTGCTTATTTTATCCACGCATTCATTTGGACAATCTCTCATTGACAAAACAGACCAGGCAAGGTAGTGAGGATATAGGACTTTGGGTGAAGGATGGAAGGATGTGTAGCTAAACAGAGCAACTTCATTTGATGATATGATGAGATCTGTCATTGCTTTAACTGTCCTTAAGCTCTAATGAATGAAACTGTTACTGGATTTTAATTTTCAAAGACAAAACTAAGAATTGTTTGTCTCTCACTCTCTTGGTAATCTGAATGGATCTTGCATTTAGAAACTAGAAAAGCCTTTAAATGAGAATACTAAAAATAAAATTGATTTGTAAGTACAAAATAGAAATAGTTTATATCATTATATTTGTTTTACTATTAGAAAAAGTTACTGATGGAACTGACACCTGACAGTTTTTGAGATGGGTTAGCAGAGTTTTGTCTTTCCCTTTCTTCTCTCTTTGGGTGGTCTACTTCAGTGAATTCTCAACCATTTCTAAGGAAACAGCTATAGAACGGGGTTGATTGGCTGTGTCACTGAATTAAAAGTTAGCACTATGGGCAGAGTTTTATATGGCAGACATATGGGTATGAGACCTACAGAAAGCAAGTCCATCTGTCCTTCTGTCCATCTTTTCTTCCCTCCCTCCCTCTCTCCCTTTCTTCTTTTCTTCCTTTTATAATGCTAGAGATGGAACTCAGGGTCTCACACATGCTAAGTAATTTCTCTGTCACTGAGCCACACTCTCAGCTCCTTTTAAGAAATTTTTTATTTTGACACAGGGTCATGTTAAGTTGCCTAGGTTGGCCTAGAATTTATGATACATCTGCCTCAGTCTTCTGAGTAGGTAAGAACAGTCATGCACAACTATACTCAGCATCTTGACATTTAAAAAATTTTATGTGCAGTTTTAAAAAAGAAAAGCAATTTGAGCATTTAGCATGTTCTCATATCTTAAGGAATTGATGTTTACCAATGGCTTTGGTTGGAATGCTAAAACAAAAAGTTTAACATTGACATTTTAATCGATAGGTGGGTATAGATAGATGTTATGAATAAAGTAAAAAGGATAACTTCAAAACTCAATAATTTGTATACTGTACTAATTTTAAAATGTGTTTGTACTAAATGATATTTAGTGAGTTAAGAATAGCAAGAAGGAAAAGAAAAATATTTTGAGCATTATTTTCTCAAAAAGAAAGAAAAATAAAAAATAAGTAAAAGTATTGTTTATTTTTTATCCTATTTAGACAGTTTGTTATCTTACCTTTCGAATTCTCTTTTAACAAAGGCACATATGGAAAAGCCAAGTAAAACATGTAACATGACCTAAATTGTATGTGTGTGATTATATGTGTGATAGTACTTTAGCTCTTTTGACTACCAAAAAGCTTTTAATATTTTTCAAAGTCAATATTTATCAAGCCAAACAATATGTATCTGTATATCTCATCTACAAGATCAAAACTTTAAAATGTAATCCCTAAAATTTAAAGTTATATTTTTCCTCCTGAAAGTTCATACAAGAGGAAATGACAATTTTACTTCTAAAATATTCTATGCATAGCACAATAAAACTCATGCGTGTTACCTCATCAAACCTCTTAGAGGTTCATACTATAATGCAAAGGATTACAGAGGGGACATTAATAAAAAATTGGTCACTTATCAAATTTTAAAATAGTTATTCTGAAGTTTTTATGTGGTTATAAAAAGTTGCATGGCCCCAAACATTCTCATCAACCCACTCCTAAACTTTCCCACTCTCTTGCACCTCTGTTGGGTAGAGTTGGGAGAGGGCCAACATCTGGCTGCCAAACTTTTTTTTTTTTTTTTTAATGAATGTTCTTCACAAACAGGGAAGCAAAAGGAAAAGCAGACACATCCTATTTCTTTCACTGCTGGGTCTGGATTTGATTAGACCATTGACTAATTTTCACTATATATACTTTAACTTAGGGGTAGCTTTGGGCCTAAGAATTGACAAGTGTTAATTTTCATTAATTCTCTGAATACTTGAAAAGCACTGCAAATTTTAAATGAGCAATCCCCATAAAAATCATTTATACTTTAGAAAATAATCCTTAAGTATAATGAGTAAAAAATAGGTTTTGGCAATAAAATAGGGTCCTCACATTGAATAAATATATTCAATGAGGGTCCTATCTTAAAATACGCTGAATATGTACAGTGAAGCAGGACTGTGGGCTTCGTTATGCCCCATGGATCCATTAGATATTTGCAAAATAGGTCATACATTGTGACCAAAATTTCTCCAGTGCCATTTTCCATTGATTGCTGAAGTTGTACTATGGATCCAATATAATTTCTGATGTATATGCTACTTAATAATGGATTCATGAACTTAAAGAGAGAAATGCTAGTTAATGGGTTCAAATTCCGCTTTGAAACATCATCCCGTAACCCTATGTGTACCAGTGTCAAAGAATCAAGTAACAGGGGACCCTTTAAATAACAAGATCAGTTGCATTTGATGTGTTCATATGTTGTTTTTCTTTTCTCAAGTGCTGTATTGAAAAGTTTTTTTTTTTTTTTTTAAAAAAAAAAAAAAAAAAAAAAAAAAAAAAAAAAAAAAAAAAAAAAAAAGAAAAAGAAAAGAGAGAGATCCTAAAAATCAGCGGAAATGTGTGGATAAAGAAGCACAGCCCACAGAACACTGATGTGAGCGTGACAGCAGGGGAGTCACCCAGTCCTGGGGGCCTCTCCCAAGGACTAACTCAGGTCTTCATTGTGGAACACTTCAGTTTTTTATTTTATAATATGAAATGAACATTTGCCTCTTTTTTGCTTTACAGAATACAGCCCATACGTACATATGTAGATCAGGTACATATTTATATGCATATACATGGGGGTAATCAGAACTGGGTCTGAAAGCACCCACACAAAAATATGTTGCAATTTACTGAGTGTTTCCAATGGGCATTTAACACATTTCGTCTCATTTAACCCTCACTCAACTCTGTGAGGTTGGTACAATTATCATCTTCATTTCACAGAAGATGAAAGTCTTTGACTAAGTCACTTGTCAGAAATTCAAACCCCAAACTTCAACTGAAGTCTGACTTCAGTTGACATGTATATAAGGTAAGGATAACAAGCCACATAAGTGTGGAGTCTTATTATTCCTATTGTATTATCCAGGAAAAATTATTTCAACTTGCCAGTGGACAAGGAGATGCATTAGAAAAATTTAAATCTTTCTCAAGCCAATGCTTAACATTTTTTTCAGAAACCATTTTCTTTTCATGAACTGGTAGAAACCAGAGTTAAATTTAAACAAGTAAAGCATGTGTGTAAAAATAACTTAATTTCTTTAAATTAAAATCAATTAAAATTTAATTAAATACACTTGATTAAATAAACTGAATAACTCAGAATTGTTTGTGGGAAGCCATTGCTCTGCAGTGTTTGTAGACAATATCAAAGCCTTCCCTTCCATGTTCTTCTTTGAAAATTAAAAGAAGAAATTAAAAAGAAATTTAAAAAAGAGCAAGACTTGAAATGAGTTTAAAAAATATTTTTAAAAAGGCTATCAGGTTTGCCAAGATGTGAAAATGGGGGAATAAATACACTTTCTGGGTGAGGAAGAGGGCCGCTAGCTTCCCCAGACGCGGTGAAAGAGTGGCGGTGGGTGAGCGGCTGGCCCTGTGCGTGGCCTGGCGGGTTGCTGGACACCGCGGAAGGGAGCTGGCCTGGGGCTAGCTCAGGGTGTGAGCTGCTGAGCGACGCGGCACCGCCTGAGAGACCTGAGCGAGCATCTAGGTGTTCAGAGACAGGGAAGCCGTTACCGTGACACAGGCTCCGGGGTGCTGGACACTTGGGCTGGGCGGTCCACGCTGCCTCCACTGCCCACGGCCTGCGAGGTGGGCCAGGCAGACCTTGCTCGCCGCTTCTTCTTCTCCTGCTCCTTGCGCTTGCCCGGCTTGCCTTTCTTTTTCTTCCCGGGTGTCTTGAGGGGTTGCTCTTTGTAGGTCTCCACCTTGTTGGTTTCCTGAGTTAGGTACCTGCCCTCATCGTCGGACCCGAACTGCACTGGGTGGTTCTTGGTGTTGGGTGAGGGCTTGGAGTTGGGGGACACCTCCGAGGTAGCTCTGATCTCTGCCGTGTGGATCCCAGAGATGAGGTGGTGCAGGAAGTATCGGCGGCGCAGGTCCTGAATGGACTTGCCCTTGTCGTGAAGCAGCTGGTGCTCAGACACTGCCCTTTTGCTGCCGGAGAAACCAGAAGGGGCGGGTGACCATCAGATAACAGCTCTTGGCTGGAAGCAAAGTCTCAGTCCACCAGCAGGTCCTCTGCAGGCCACAGCCACGGGGACAGAAGAAGATGGGAGGGCCAGAGCCAGGGATAAGGGGCTGCGGCTGGGCCCGGTGCCACTCACTGGCTTCCCAACCTGGATGAGAGCAGCATTTCTACTCATCTGTTTAATAGTGCAGCATCAGAACAGGCAGTATTTATGCTGTTCTCAAGGTGAGACGCTATTACTGTACTCAGTTATGCCTGAAAATGGGAGAAGACCCTGGTGTCTCTTCAGAATTCTCCTGGGAAATGAACCCAGATTCCTATCTGGGAAATAAAAGGCCAACTGCCTTCACTGAGTACTCTTCCAAGCCCGCCTGTGCACACACATGCACACATGCACACACACAACACACACACACACACACACACACACACTGCTGCCCCACTAAGAAAGTAATACTGACTTCCAAAGAACAGCAAGCTGCAAAAATAAAAGCCCACAAAGCTGCACTCTGAGAAATGAAGTCTGTCTAGGAATCATCTCACTGCAGGGCTGGATTTTAACATTTTAGATGACTGGGTATAAGAGGCTATATTTGAAGGCCAAATGCCAGAGAGAAGGAGACAGACATAATTTTTTCATAAAGCAGGTGGTCTCCTTATGTGTGCATTTATGTGAGATCACGCTACTGCTTCTGTGCTTCAAGTTTTGTTTTCTAATTTAAAATTTCAGAGAGTATAGCTCTTAGTGTTCAAAAGCTTGTTTTTCTACTTGCGCTTTTTCTTTTAAATATCTTTAGGAAAAAGTATAAAGTTCTTTTTCTATCTAAGTAATTCTCTAATGAAAATAGAATGAAAAAGAAACTGATTATCCACCCTTTTAGATGCTCTCCTGACTTCCACTCATGTTTTCCCGTATTAACTCTGTGGCACTCTGTTAACTGAACGTGAGAATTATGCCTACTCAGAAATCACACCATGCCTCTGGCAACTCCAACTTGGACTGGAATAGTCCTCCAAATGGGCTCATCTTGGCAAGCATCCGAGGGCATTTCACAGGGCCGCATCCCACGAACTCGTTTCCCTAACACAGTGGCACAGTGGTGCCTGGGGCCCTCATTACCTCTGTTACCTCCTCCAACTCCTTGGAGAAGTGTGAGCATAATAAACAGTATCATTATCATAATTTGCAGATGGGAAAAGATGAGGTACAGAGTAAAGGATGTGCCATCGTTTCCATGAGAACCAGCAGATCTGGAGCTCTAAACATGAGGCCTTCTCATTCTAAAAGCAAGACCACTTTTCCAGTGTCCCCAATCTCTTCTACTGAAGCTGGAAACAAAGCCTGAAACAGGAAGCCTCTATGACAGGGGGCAGAGGAGAAAGATATTTACTTGCTTCTGTAGAGACCAAGGACTCCTGAGTCTGTTTTCATCACCAAACAAGGGACTAACATTCCTAGAGTTTGGCTTATCGTGGAGCAAACGAGTCAATGAGGACAGCAAGAGATGAAAGCACAGTTGTCATTTCTCTGGCCCTGGCAGCCAGAATGCCAGCTTTCTTCTAGGATTTTTGTGTGTGGACTGACTTTAGCCATAGAGCTTGTACCGAAAAGATATGACTTAATGGAAAGGAATTAACAGGAGCCTTGCTTAAATGAGACACGCAGGAGTCTATCTCCCTTTTTTAAGGTATCACATGTAACTAGATTAAACTTCACTTTGTGGCAATCATTAGTACTCTGGAAACTTTTAATAATCTACAAATTTGAGGTTTGGATACAATGTATCCTCTTACAACATTTTAAAAGAATAGGACTGATATAATTGCATATTTCATAAACACTGTTGTTTAATATATATTTTTACCAAAATACGTGTGCAGAAGAAATTCTGAGCCAGTGCTGATAGTATTGGGGGCTTTTATTTCTTTCTCAACTCTTGGCTGACATCCTCACTGTGTATCCCTCTCTTCACATCTACTATATCGCCCATTCTTGCTTTACTCAAAGCCAGACTTCTAATGGTTGGCCTGCTCGAATCCAGCCACCATTGCTCATGCCCCTCTGACTGGCACAGATGTCTGTCATCCGGGCCAGCTTGTGCACTGTGACTCACCCTGCCTTCGCCACTTTCCCAGAACGCTTCTCATGGGAGATGCAGTGATCATTTTATCCTTTATTTTGCAAAAAGCCTACAATTCTGTCCAGTTTAAAATAGTACTTCTCTTTCCAGCTGCCTTTTAGGGAAAATTGTTATATATTAGGAAACACAAATCTTATTAAATGCTAAATCTGAAATGCTATTAGACAAGTTATTTAGTGTTTCAGAGACTTCTGCCTTTAAAATATTGAAAAGTATAAATCTCTGATTGAAAAATTGCATTAGAGGGTCAGGAAGACAATGACATCTTTATCATCCACATGGAATAAGGTTCATACAATGTTCTCTTTATTTGAAAAAAAAGGACAAAAACTGACACAGGGATACACGACTGACATGTACAATCTAGATATACCTAGGTGGTAAGTAGAAAATTCAAATTGTGGAGGTTTGCAATTTAGCTAACTCTGAAACACTAAGATAAATATGGCATCAATAAGACCCTGTTACTCAGTACATCTGTAAATGTTATATTGCACAATGGTGGACATCACATTTATTACATACCTAGGTTCTGACACAGAAAAACAAGTATGTTATGCTTTATGATTTTTGATTTTGTAAAAAAAAGAAAAAAAATTCAGAGAAAATGTGCAACATGGATAGCTCTAAATTTAGTCAAAACATAGTTGCTCTTTGAAGAAGAATCACTCTCAAGGGAGTTATCAGGGAACAAGCTTAAATTTCTATGGCACTATCAAGGAACAGAGGGAATAACAGTAACGGAAATTCATTTCAGCACAGGACGAAGCAGAATGCTTGTGTTGATGAGAAGATACTATGGAGGGGCCCCGAGTTTGAGAAGCAAAGTTCTGTGGTACATAGAGGAGACAGGGTTAGGGTGTCAGAGTTGAGGTGACTCACCAGAAGTCCCTTCCAACCCCTATGACTCAGCTGAAAGTTATGCTTTTCATTAAGTGGAATAGCCCTAGTCTGGTTCCCAAGCAAATCAGCCAGTGATGCTCTGTGCTTCTCAACCTGCTTGGGCTCCCTCTCTAAAGGAACCTCTCTATAGGAACCTACCAAGCCGTGTTCTTCCACACAAGAACATCCGCAGAGCCCACTTTACAGTCTCCAGCTTGACAATGCTCTTGCCCCATTAACCAATTTTGGGGACTCTGTGTGCATGAATATGCCACAGTGAGACCCATTATTCTGTATAAATAACATACACTAATTATAAAAATCAAACTTGTGGACCAGGAGGGACAAAACATCATAACTTGTAATTGCCTCCTTTGCATGGCTTAGAAAGTAACTTTTTCTCCCTTAACAGTTAACTCCTAGTTTAAAAAAATATATACTTCTTAAGCAGTTTCCCTAATGCTTGGTGTGAAAGTCAGGGAGTAATATGATTTTATTATATGTTACAATTGCTTTCAAGAAGGTAGACTGATTTTGTGTAATTGTAGACTAATGTTTTGTCTAGCACACAACATTTACTGTTACTTGGCAGCAATGCAAAAATAATGACTTGTTTTTTTTTTAACTTTCCTTGGCTGTAATAATCTGATGAAACATCTTTATTTACTGATGATTTCAGCCTCCATGAAAAACCACGGTTGTAATGTGATGACCCATTAGCCATTAACTACAAAATGTTTTGTGGTACTTTTATAACCATCTGCTTAGTGTGAGTGTTTAACTATAATATTATATTTCACCCACAAACAAAACTACAAGAGTTTCTGGCTGCTAAATGGTTTCTGATGTGTATTTTGCAAGGTGCAACAAAGAAAGAGTTAAAAATAGCCAGGAGGACAACTTAACACTATTTTTATGCCATGACTGTGGACTTAATCATGGCTCACTTACTGTTGCTCAAAAGAGAAGACAGGTATTCCTGAAGCAACTTTTTAAAAAAGGGCCCTGTTCCAAGACAGTATTTCTTAGCCAAATAAATACAGTATGTGCGTGCACTTTAAAAAATTTCAGTCTTACTTTATATTTATAGTTGGATGTTAGATAATTGAATTTAACACAAGTCTCAAAATGAGCAAAATGTCTGAAGATAATTTTAAGAAATACATCAGCAAAACATTGATTTGAAGAATACAATGCAGCTTTATCTTTAGCACAATGTTCTACACAATTTGCCTTAGGAGATTCATAATAGATTTTCATTTTGGTGCCAAGGTTCAGACATGTCTAATGTAATTTCATTTAAGGATTTCCTGCTCTAATAATAATAGACCAAGGGCACATATAAAACAGTTGCCTTTTTTGTATACCCTTGGGAATTTATAAGGAAGCCCCACAGACCTGACTATAGATATTAGAGACTGCTATTTTTATCATAAAGTGTAAAAGCTCTCTTTAGTTTCTTCTCTAGAGTCAAACTGTACTCCGTTCTTAACTTTTATGTTTTTCCCATCTTGAACACTGACTCTGCAGCCTCAACACTGCCTAAGGATGCTATTACACACACTAATGAACTTCCAGGCCCACCAGATAATAAGACGAAACTGCTCAGCCACTGTCCACTTTCTAGCCACACACCATAGTGCTCTTTCTCTGGGTTGCTAAGATGTATCCTTATTTCTCAGCCACAACTGTCCTTAAATAGGATCACCACAAGAGAATGCCAAGATATAAGCTTTCGGTCTACAATGCAAATATTTGACTTTGGGTTAAAGAACTGTTAGTAATAATTCCAAGAAACAGTTTCCACACCTGAAGTTCGTTTTGGATCCAAGCACTACAGCCTCCCTGAATGTTATCAATACTACTAACCCTTGGTAGCGCGCCCCTGCACAGTTGTTTCCACTTTCTTATATAATATGCCTTCATTATGTAATATGGTCCCACTTTACAGGCTTAAAATTATGTCACTCACAATAAAACTGGACGCAAAGTTTTGGTTTTCTCACACACTGCCACTCAAATGCAGTGCGCGTGACTGTGCAGACCTGCATCCTCCGGTCCCCAGGTTTCTTCCGAGTTACAGGACTTCCCGGGTGCTGGGATGTAGCCCCCAGGAGCTTGTGTAAAACACCTCTGGGAAACTACCGGGCAGGTTTGCCTCTTGCCTGTTTGTCCTGGGGATTCAGCTAGGTCTGCCTTCTAGGTGATTGGGGGGACCGGTTCGGACCCTCGCAGGTAGCTGCGAACCCCTCTCTCTAGTCGGGGCGAGACTCGTGGTGACCACGGGGAACCCTGGGCAGCGTCTCCCCGGCCTCCCCAGCCCGGCTCCCGCCCGGAGGATGGGGCACTTACAGCCGGCGGCCGAGCCCCTCCACCGAGCGCCCGCAGGAGGGCACCGAGCAGCTGAGCAGGAACGCAGCGACGCTCCACTGCTGGACCAGCCTCCGCAGCATCGTCTCGCCGGCTCCCCGCGACCTGGACGGGAGGAAGGGCCGCGGCGTGAGCTCGGGCTGCCCACCGCCCCGCGCCCGCGCCTCCTGCAGCCTGGGCTCCGACGGCCTCTCCATCTTCAGGGCCTCTCCCAAGTTAGAAAGAAAAAGAGAGGAGGGAAGAAAAGTTCCTCGGGAGCCTCTCAGCTCCTACTTACTCAGGAATCAGTTACTCCGACTGCGCTGCTCCTAAACCACACAGCCAAAAAGGGACCCAAAGGGAAAGATAAGTCAGAGGCGCTTTCCCTGAAAGAATAGCGAGCACGAGACGGTTTTACACACGCACGGGGGTGAGCGGTGTTTACACGTCTCCCGTAGCAATGTCTAATTCGTGCGGCCACCGGACCGGGGTGCGCGGCCGGCGCTCGCCTCCGCCTGAGTGAGTTCCCCCCGAGGTCCGCTTCGGGGCGAGTCGGGCCCTGCGCGTCCACAGCCACTTGTAGCGAGACCCACATATATATGCATAGCCGC